TGTTAAATGATACCAATACGTACACGGTAGTCACCAAAAATCCGTCAAAACAAATAGAAAATAAATTGAATAACTTATTAAAAATATGGCACCAGAAAAGGATTACATTTCCAAACAAGATTTGTATAAACTCCGGTCTAGCGATTCTCTTCTACTTAAAGCTTATGGTCCCCCGAAGATTCATAAAGAGAATCACCCTTTTAGAATTATAGTCTTATCTTTTAGAATTATATCTTATCCTAAACACAGCTTTATATGCCTTCGCAAGATATCTGCATGATATAATCTTGGAAAGCATTCCCCATGCGGTTGGTTACGTAGATAATAGTTTCGATCTATACAGAGAACTCTCTAACAAAAAAATCTCTAGTTCGGATGTCTTGGTCTCATTAGATGTAACATCATTGTTTATCAACATTTCTCTGGATCTCGCAATCAAAGGGGTTAGCAACCGTTGGCAATACATAAGTAAAAAAACAAAAATACCGAAAAAAGAATTTTTATTTGCTCTCGAGTTTGTTTTAACATCCACATATTTCACTTTCAATAACGTGATATACAGGAAAACCTACGGTGCACCAATCGGATCGCCACTATCCCCGATCGTTGCTGACGTCGTGATACAAGACCTAGAAGAAACATCACTGAGATTGATCAGATTAGCTTTGCCTTTTTATCGTCGCTATGTTGACGACATAATAATGGCAGCAATTTCTGATATAATACAAGACATCGTAGACATTTTTAACAGTTATCACGAGAGACTAAAGTTCACTGTAGAATATGAGATCGATCGCAGTTTGAATTTCTTGGATCTATCTTTGCACGTTATTGATAATACTTTATACATAGATTAGTATAAAAAAAAATGTCCTCTGATAGATACCTTTCTTACCACTTGAATCACCCGGATTGTCACAAGATAGGTACAATATTCAGTTTAGTCGACAGAGCTATCCTACTGTTCCACCCCATGTATTACACAAAAAATTTGGAAATAATCATCAACATTTTACTGAACAATGGGTATCCTCTCGAATTAATCTTCAGGAAAGTCAATCTGAGATTAAAATATCTCCTTAACAGTAAGCTTAAACACATAAATGAAATTGAATCATTAAGTCAACATAGCGACGACACGGTGCAGAGTAAAAAATTCATAGTCACCCTGTTTATAAAAAAACATATCTAACAAAACTGCCCATTTACTTAACAACGAGGAGCATATAATAAGATACAGAGTTTTAAATAATCTTGGCAAGTTCGTCAAGGCATAAAAAGACTAAAATTCCGGAATTTTTAACAATAATGTAATATACAAAATATCGTGTAAAGATTGCAGTGCTTTATACGTAGGACAGACAAAGCGACAACTTCACTAGATTAAATGAACACAAAAACAACATCAAAACGAATCCATCAAGGTATTCTGTGATTTCGGAACACATTACAAAATTCAATCACACTTTCGATTGGACAATACAGTGATACTCGATTCTGAACCAAATTTTTATAAGAGACTTATATCAGAGATGTTACACATCAAGGAACAAAAAAACGGGATCAATTTTAATACAAACACAGAAATTCTTGCTGACTCATATTTTAGCATACTTGACGGTAATTGTTTAGATGGGGGGTGACCTGAGTGACCTTCATAAGGTTCAGCCCGCGTCGTTATTCGTTAAGTACGTTTTTTTTTTTTTTTAAGCAGAGGATATTTTATTTCGCGAGAAAGTCGCTGCTTTACCAAAACACAACATTTAAAGCAGTAAATTGTTGATAAATTGAAGTCTTTTTGTTAAAGCAGAGAATACTTTATTATAGGTTAGTGACGCGCTTTAAAAGTATTTAAGTGTTTAAAACGCGTCAACTAACCTATGTAACGCTTTAAAAGTATTTAAGTATTTAAAGCGCGTCAACTAACCTATGTAGTTTAGTGACGCGCTTTAAAAGTAGATACTTTCTATTCTCTACTTTAAATAACTTTCCTTTCAATATATCAACAATTCACTACTTTAAATAATTTTCTTCGTTCATACATACACTATTTTCACATAAATATCAATTATTTATGTCTATTAGTACTCAACATAACTGCTATATTTTCCAAACTTTTTTTGTTTATAACTTTTTAACGAATAACGAGCGCGGGTTGAAATCTTCTGAAGATCACTCAGGAGGGTGACCTTGACAACATACTAAAATATCAAGGTCATCCAAGGTGATCCCCCCCCCCCCATCTAAACAATTACCCTGTTCGTCCCGACAATTTGCGCAGTCATTTGACATCCGCAACACGAGAAAGAGCATTACATCGCACATATTTTACGTCCTGGCAAATACATGTGAGTTTTAACGGATTTCATACTTACGACAATTAATTTAGTTACATACGATCTCCTTCCAGAAAATCTTTTTTATATTTAGACCATACAACCTGACAAAAACAATTCTTATGGACTGGAGGAATTAATTATGTAATTTCGCTGACTACATTTTATCTCCGGTTTTGACTTCGTAGATGCAACGACAAAAACTCAGTATGTATTCGTCAGGCTCTTAAACGGTGATGTGGCTCTATAGATTTAAGAATTTTATATTTTTGTAATTACGAATACCTGTACACAATTTATGTTAACCTAAATATAATATTTTATACTACGGCTGAAGAAGACTCTGTGAAGTCAAAACGTTCCGTTCTTTGTATATATGTTAATTAATTATATGTTTTAACATCTATTAACCCTAGAGAGTTTTTATGAATTTTCTCATACGTGAAAGGCCAAGCGGGGTATAAAAACACCCCAAACTTGTACCGCGTGTATAATGTTTCTATTTGTTGTTAGACAATTTTATAATAAATAATTTTGTTTGTTTTTTAATAGTGAAGACGATAGTAGTCATCAATTTGCGGTAGTAAAAAAAAAACAGTAAAAAATTTTCAAAAAACAAAAAAATAGAACCAAAAATTGGGCTAGAATGACTATTTTTATAAAAAATGCTGTAGTTTTTCATAAAATTCACTGATTTTAAAAATTCCAACGGATTTTGAAAGACGAATAGACAACTTTCAAGGGCATGTAAGCGATTTTTTCGTTTCTTAAAAAAAACATATTTCTTTGAACGTATGAAGTAGAGGAAATGACGAAAAACTGTCGGATGGGAAAAATCGCAAGAAATGGAAAGTAAAACAGATTCTGTCAATTATTATTTATTTAAAAGGTAGTCAAAAGTTATAAAAGTATATGGAAACAGTAAAATTAACTCCACAAAAACTTTACAAAGTTTTAATCAGTTGCTGTGCAAGAACAGCAAAAATGAAATAATTGACCGAACCTTAAAGAATTATATATGAAACAGGGGTAGAATTTTCCGGGAAGTGCTATAAAGTGTATAATTTTTCATTATCGATTTTCACAAATAATCTGAAATATGCTTTAATCATTGGCCTTTTTCTTTTTAATTTTTGTGTTATTAATGATAAACATAGTTTTATTAGCTTTAAAATAATTATATTTCACAACTTATACATATATAATTAATAAAAAGCTTTGAAGTAAAACGCAACTTGTGTGCGATAGTTTTATGAGTTAATGCTCATATACATACACATTATAATTGTAACATATTTTAAAAAGTCATATCTATTAAAACTTACCTTTTCAAAAAAAGGTACAAAAACGCCAAATACATGCGCCTGACTATCTACAAAAAATATATCAAAAAATGGCATCAAATAGAAATAAATCTTTGGAAAAAAGCTCTGTTGTATGTTTTAATTAAAAAAAAAAGCTGTTGTGTGTTTTTAAAAAAATTTAATCAAAATTAAAAAAAATTTAATGCAAAAAAAACTTATAGAGTGGTTTCGCGCCACTAATATATTAGAGTGATTGCGATAGTCACTCCAAAAGAGAGTGTTGTCACTCTAATTTAATAAAATGCGAGCACTCATAAGGTAGGAGTGAATTTTTTACTCAAATTTTTAGAGTGGCTACTCTAGCCGGAGTGACACGATCTCACTCTAAAGCTATATTGAATTACAATTCACTAAAAATCGACTGATAAATTACTCTAACAGAGTAAAATTTTCCACTCAAAATTGTAGAGTGACATAATTCACTCCTAATAGACACTGATCTACTGCACTCGAAAAGAGTGCCTTTTCACCCAAATGGAGTGCGATTTCACTCCAAATTACATGTATATAGAACGCAATTTTACTCTTTCTTTATAGAGTAGGCAAATAGCTCGAAGTGCACAGACTCAATTGTCACTTTTCGTTACACTTGCATTTCACTCGTTTTGAGTTATATTTCGCTCTTCGACTTTTACAGAGTGTATGGGATAGACATAATATGATTTAATTTAATATTATATATTATTATTATTTATATTATATATTAATATTATGTATTAAATACATTATAAATAATATTAATATATTATATATTTAAGTTATTTGATGTAACAGCGTCTTTTGCATTAAATAATTTTTATTAATTTTTTTTTAATATATAACAGTTTTTTCCAAAGATTTATTTTTACTTGATGTCAGTTTCTAATATCATACTTTTTGTAGGTAGACAGGTGCATACATTTGGCGCCCTTTTTGTACCGTTTTGTAAAAAAGATAAGTATTTACATAGATCATTTTCTACCGAGTTTCACCTTATAAAGTATAACTTGATGAGCTCCAAAAATATGGAATCCTTATACATTCAGACATATGAAAATTCGTATAATTCTGACGGTGCCGGTTAATGCATGAGAGCACCAAGATCTGCAACGGACATAAATGTACCCGGCGAGCCTTTGAATGCTTTTGAGTTGGTCCGCTGATTATATCCTCGGTTGTGTTGGTTTAATCTATCTCCGTTTCATTTGTACATCTTTAGCCGCTGGCCGCTCATAAAGCTTACGTGATCGCGATAAAAGTCAGAGTGTCGTTAGCACGTCTTAGAAGGCATCTGATAATACGTGCCGCATTCGTTTTATTAATAAAAACGCGAGTCACGTGAATACGGCAAGCATCCGCGCGCTTATCAGGCACGGAGCGCGCTCGCCAGACAAAAATCTCGCTGGGGACATCCCGTATTCTTTTCCGCTTACTTAAGATTCTCTCGACTAACGCGAGCTCAATCTTACGACAGTCGCCTTTGACATCGATCTCGGCTCATAGGACTTCACTCACGAACTGATCCCCCGCGCACCATCCACATTAATCGCGCGCGTCGCGCGGTCGCTGGCATATATTACGAGGAAAAAGTTCGCGCGGTGCAGTTTTCTTCGTAAACAATTGCCAGTCTGTGTCGAGTGCTATTTGCGTATGCGTTTGCGGCGTTAATCTACGTAAGTGACACATTATCTTTCTTTCTCTTATCTTCGTTTAAGTTGGGATTAATCCTATTCCTAATTGTGGGTTGGTATACATATAACTGTGCATAAAATATCGATGACATATTGACTCTTAATAAGTATTACAAACAGTGAGTTTCAATCAAATATAAAAATGTAAATTTAATTTCCAGTGAGATCAAGTGCAAATGTGCAAATTTTGGCATATGTCTTGATATGCCACAATATGCACTTTTGATGCTTACTTTTTTATAGATGCTATACTGTTTAAAATAGTGTCAAATTATCACGCTCAATGACTCAATTTGAGTCACTTTTAAACATTCCTATAGGTCGCCACTGCTCCTCAATATGTCGTTAATTTAACTAAAACAATGTTAATTTAACTAAACCAATGGAGTTAAAACAATACTCTATTTTATGTTAAAATAATAAATTTTGTCACAAATGATAGTTAAAAGTAACAAAATGTTATCTAGTTCAAAGTATTGATTTAAATTTTATCCTTTAATATTTAACAGCGTACGTCTCTCTCTATAAGTTCATTAAATTTACTCTCACCAAGAAAGATAGTACTTACAATTTACGGCTATACAAATTCCGCAAAACATTACAAAATACCTACGTTTTTCCTCCGTCGATATTTCAAAGTGATTTATGTTCAAGAACGTCGAAACATTCTCAAGGAATAATGGTTTACGAACGAATAAGCTCGCGATTTCATCGTAGGCAGTTTCGGGACGGAAATAAAATAATAAAAAAAAGATACGAAAATAGACTTATTTTACGGACAAAATAGACCGCGTGGACATGTTACAGTTTTGGCATTTACCCATCTCCCAGTAGACAGAGGAACTATAGTGTATTTTATTTGTCAACTTCAATCTTAATTCCTTGATAGATTATAATGTAGCATTGCATTATAATTGATTTTTCGGTTACCGCAGATAAATATTAATAATAGATAAATATTAATAATAGTACAATTTGCTGAAGGTAACTCATATACGCACGCATGCACACACATTGTTGGAAAATTTGTGTTAAATATAACATAAATCACATGTCCCAAACGATCCACTCAAATTTTTGTGTTAATTTCACATAATATGGATGTGTTAAATGGTAACACCGATAGGGGAGACCGAGGCTATTCGTGACACATTTTTATTTCGAATTTTTTTTCTCGCTTTGTATAAATGTTTAAAAATTTTTTATTAGTGCGATGTAATCGTCCATCTCTCTAGTTTAAAATAAAAATAATATAGGTTTTTCTCTCACAAGTCTCGAAATATATCAAGAAATGTATCGCTGTGTCATGTGTCACGAATTGCCTCGGGGTCGGGGTAATTCGTGACAGGTCATGGGGTAATGCGTAACACTTTCTCTGATTGAACAAACTATATGGATTTCTTTCGTTATACAATTTTTTTCTACTTTATACTTTGAAAAAGCCTTTATTTGTCAGAATTTACATATTATATGTATAAAAAATTATGAGGAAAAAAGTAACGCCTGTTCCATTAATCGCCCTAATCGCTCACATTCGATTACGAGAAATCACTTCTCGAAGACGTTTACGGCCCCTGCGAACTGGTTCTTCCTTTGAACGCTTATTCGTGGTTTTTTTGGTTGCGCCGATTGCTCGTGTCACGAAATGCCCCGGCGTAGTTTTTCCTCATTCATGATCCGTGACTTACAGATAAGAAAGAATATTATATAATCTACTCATGCATTATGCTTATTGTTAGTGAAGTCGAGTGACTGAATACAACTTACCGTTTCGGATCTCTTATTATTTTATTCGGCGAGACAACAAATTTTTGGGATTTGAAAAATTTTACTTTGAGCACTTGAAATTAGACCTTCTGTCACTGAGAGAGAAAAATAGTTGACACGCAAATGCCATTCCGTTGGTACCTAGAGGACATTAAGAGACATCTGTGATTGATATTACAGGTTTCTAGCAGCAAGCATTTTAAAGTTAGGCCCGCGTGTTACGAATAGCCCCGATCTCCCCTACTATGTTAAAATATTTCAACAAAAAGGAAATGTAATTCTGATCGTAATTTTGAGGTTAATTATGTGTACAATTAACATAACTTTTATGTTGAAGTTAAGATTGTAAGATAAAATCAACACTTTTTTTCTGTAAATTTTTATTCCCATTTCTGTTATAGAGTAAATCAACATTCTTTTTCTGTAAATTTTAACACATTTAATAAATACATTCAAATTGTGTTACTTTAACATATTTTTTAAATTATTTTAATAATTTTACATTTTAAATTTGTTAAGTTCAATTAACATAGCAGGCATATGTTAAATCTAAACATGTATGTGTTGATTATTTTACACAAAAATTTTAACAAGGACCTTTTTTAACAAAACTACAAAAATTTTCCAACAGTGCATATTTCTTATTCTTTTATTTTATATGTTGTGTTCAGAAAAATAACTTGCTTTTATATATTGTTGAATATGTATTTTGTGACTTTAAATTTTAATTTTATTATAAAGATATATCGTAATAATATGTAACATATCCTACAGGTATACGTCGATTATATATATAATTTAAATATTTTGCAATTTGTTAAAAAAATTATCTTTATTTTTAGAATATACAAATATGTATAATATTTTTACGTTTTTCTGATTTTCTGTCTTTTCTTGATAATATTTTAAAAAAGAATTAAAAAATCTTAACCAAAACTCTAGTTGATGCTAATATTTGAAGACCATGGAAAATAAGCAGATTAATACCATATATGAAATTAATATCTAATTTTTTAAACTGGACCGATTGTGAGAAAAACATTTTAATAATTAAATAAGTTTGGACCAAATGGATCGAAGAAGCAATACATGCGATCTCGTAATCCCGTTTGGATAAACTGCCTATTTTCTGTTTCAGCACATATGGATTGATTTTTGTTCTTTTTCCGACGCGCATTTAATTTTAAAGGTTGCCTATAGAGCTAACCCGTTTTCTTGTAGTAGCACCAAAGCTTGTAATCGGCTAGAGGAAAACCCAGCTTTGTAACTCCCTCTTATCATTTACAAGGATTACCATCCGCGTAAACAGATTTTGCGCATCAATAGGAGTTTGTATGAGAATTTCCAGGATATTTTCGTCTAGTATTATAGATGACAAATTTTGTACGTTTGATAATTAATAAATTCCGTATGAGAGCGTTTGATAAAAGTTAAGATACAATCGCAGATAAAAATATATTACGATATTTTTAAGCAATGCTGTTTCCACAAATTATTAAAGTGGTATTAGTCATCGAAACATGTGTATAGTATACATATTTGTGTATCTTAAATCGTGAATTTTAAATTTAAATACATTAGTACAAATCACGATCATTTTGTATTAAGACATGTCGAAAACAATATCAATCATTATTTGCATTACTAAAGTTTAATTAATATTTATACGTATTTAACAGATGTATTTATGAATATTTATACTATACGTTTAACATTTATAGGTACTGTACGTTAAATACTTACAATAAATACCTACTTATTAAATATTATTGTAGCAGAATTTTAATAATAATATGTATTTAATATATTTTTGTGTGTTTGCTTATTCAAAATAATTTACAATTCATTTCTTTAAACATTATTCAATATTATTAATTTCAATTCTAATAAAAAATAAAATAGAGATAAGACAAAAAACACATATCACTTTAGGTATTTACTCGCTAATACGTAGACACACAAAATAATCTTCGAAAATCAGATCTCAATACTAGGAATTGAAATGTGTAAAGATTGTAAAAAGTTACACCAATAAAAATATTATATAACGTATCTTGTATAAATTTGTTGACTTACTTATCGAGTATATAGCAATATATTGCGTTGTAATAGCGCAAAGTTGATTTATACTTACAATCTATATTATATAATACTTTCCTTAATGATAATGTCTTGAGAAAAATATTTTGTTAGCACAATATCTATTCGTACAATAGTGTTCTACTCACGAGTCATAGGTCAGTAAGCTTCCATCAATTAAAAAAGATTTCCGTTAAAACTTTACCTAATGCGTATGGGATAGAAAAATTAATTATTTAACACATAATATACATAAAAATATAACGTATAAGTTATCTGATCCCTATATAATTCATATAAGTTGCGGAAATGTCAGATAAAAAGATACCATCATGGAACAAGTTCTCAATCCACCTAAGTGATTTGAAACAAATCTCATGCATGTGCTCACACGCACACACGCACACACGTACACACGCTCGCGTATACACACCCCAAGAAAGAAAGAATGAGTATATAATGGAGAAAAGAACAGAAAATGCATGGATACGTATATTTGAAATCGAGTTATATCCGAAGCAGATACCGCATTATACAACATGTCTCACGCTCTATCTGATAGGTATAGTGAGCAAAATTTGACACTATAAATATTTTTACATGTTATAAAATGCAGTCTTTAAGTCTCTTTTATGACACTATAATGTGTATCATAAAAACTCTATAGTAGAGGAACCTAGGACATAATGGGAACACTAAGATTTAAATAAGTTTAAAACATATTAAAAATAAATAAATAAACTTGGTCTTGCACTACAATATTCTTTGAAATATTTATTTACTATAAGAAAAACACAAGTTTTACTGCGAAAGAATAGTTTAAAAGGACCAAATTATTGTTTTATTGAAAACGTGAGTTTTCCTTACTATGCATTTTATACGGGACATAACGGGATACCTCACAAAACTTGTTCATTAATGTAAAAACTTCTTAAAAAAGTGATTTATTAGAACACGCAATATATAGGTATAGGAATGTATTATTACACTTTTAATTAATAATAAACATTTTTTTTATTAAAATATAAATTAAAATCAAAATTTGATTAATAATCTTTGGCATCAATATTGCACAACATAGGTATTGATAGCGTATGAAAAAAATAAAACATTTTAAGAACACAAGGCATTATGCT